AAGTATAAGAACCGACGACAATTTTTTACGTTCCTATTCCCCCTACCCCGAGCACAAAAACGAGAAGAAAGGGAGAGCGCGTACTGTGAGGCGATAAACGCGCGAATAGCGCGGTTGCTCGAATTACTAAATAGGGTGGTACAGCGATTTGCGTAAATGGTTACGGAGGAATAACTGTTCGCCGTTATTTTTTGTTTGCCGTCGATACTTAAGTAATTGTTACGCGCTGGTACGGAAGAACAAAACCGACTCGGGTGCAACGTGTTTACCTGGATTGTTTTCTCTCCACGTCGATCCTGCTTTTGCAACTCTAATCGCTCCAATTACACCGTAGGCAGGCTTTTTGTTTCGAAAAGTACAATAAATCATCGATGAGTGTTCGAAACCTCACTCGGAACTGACAAGGAGAGGTAACGCTGACTTTTTAATGAGGACCCAGCACAATGATAGAGCTTGGAATTCTGAAGTCAATGATATTTCTTTCAGCCGCATATGGCCATTAGTTTGTGAAATATTCAATATTCAGTGCCGTGGAGACCTTCGAACCCTCATCGAGGATTTACTGTTAAATCTCGAAACCTTGACAGTTCGCCGCGGTGCACCTGAGAAAACAGGTTGCTGGGTCCCTAACCTATCCGCATCACACATCGGTACAATGAGATCAGCATTCGCGTGGGCGTATCCGCCGCTGTGTGTTTCCCGCGTAATAACGCTCGGCGATAGGCGATTCTATGGGGGTCTTCGACGTTAATTAATACGCGCGTTCTGTCCACCGATGTGGATTTATTACGCAGGCCACGTTTCATTGTGATTATTCCAAGGAGATCGAGAATAATGGAACACCCGAGATGTCGTGTTTGTATGTCTGTCCCTCGATATTTGAACTTTCTGATTCTCTCCGGAGGGAAGCTTCGTGGTTTTACAGACGACTACAAGACACGAGGGTAGTGATAGGCAGTACAGTAACGATATACTATACATATGTATACATATGTATATTCCAGTATCGATACTTGACCCATAAATATCAAAATTTCGATACAATCACTGCATTCGCTGGTCGATCGATCGGCACTGTTATTTAAGAATCCGCCTTAGCGAATATCTGCTTAAATAAACGATTTGTTTTCATTTTTCGATTTTATTACTTCTAATTTAATTTCAAATATCGATATCGATAATATGAACTATTTTATTCGCGATATATAGGTGTATCGTTACTCTGGACATCAATACGTATCGATACCAAGTATTGATGCAATTCAAATGTATGTATGTATCGACAACACTACATGGGAAGCGTGTAGGAACTGCGCAAGGTGATGTCGAGTCGCGGTCGCGGAACGAGGCCGTTCGTATGTGTCGCTATCGTGTGTGAAACTTCCGTTTTTGTTTCGTGGCGTTTAAAACATTCCGCGAAAACCCGAGAGACAGTGATAAGGGTTCGAGGGGAGACAAAGGACAGAGAATCGCGGACTTCGAGTCGCCGCCGCTTTTATTCTCGGGTTCACCTCGAGGCGATAACTTGCATTCAATTAAATACGGATTATTTAATGTTACGAGGTGGTGCGAGGGGGGCGGGGGGAGAGGAGGTGTGCATTGTTCTGATTGGTTTGCCACTTACGAGCGAGGCACCGCCCCTCCGACACATCGATCGAGAATCGTTTAAAGTTTAAAACGATACACGTACAGCACGTGTCCGTAAAGCCACTTAACAACGGGCGGCCTGGTGCTTACGTCACGACAAGCTTACACATGTATCAATGATAAACGCGGACGAATGAGATCGTTCAGAGATATTGAGATATAGAGATTGTAAGAAAATGGATGAAAAAAATTTCCGGCGCGGGAGGTGGGAAAAAATGGAAACTAATTGACCACTGAGAGCTGACTTAATCAACGAGATTAGATTAGACCAGTTTCCTTTACCGTTGAAAATCTAATGCCGCCGGTGTGTGATTTAGACGTTAATCGCCTCGATTTCAACGTCCATCGTTTCACGCTATGGTACTTTCGTTAAATTCTTTACAAAATCTAGTAGCTTCGGCTTCGCTCGGTAACTTATCCAGCTTCGATTTCACCTGTAACGTGTCCTAAGTAACCGTATGTACATTCGATACACGTATATCCTTCTCCGCTTTTCCTAGCCATTCAGGTTCGCTACGTTGAGCAAACAGGTGCCTCGCGATCGCCGCGTGTAATCATCGACCACGGATAATTGCTTTTATCGGGTACCCAACGACTACCCGTAGAAGAGATCCCGACTTTAATTTAGGTCGTAATACACCTGTAATAACTTTTAAATAAATCACGGTTGATGATCGTCCGGTTGAACAATCCTTCTCCTATTACGACGATTCTCGTTATAGGCGATATCGAATTGTTGAGGAAATTATGTTGTTTTCGGATAAGAATACTAAACAGAAGACTTTAGAAGATAGATGTATTGGTATCACGCCAACGAAAAACAACATTCAACTTTCTAACAGACCAATAGGACAGATATTACATCTGCGTGCGCGATTAAAGTGTTGTAAACGCCTATCGTTTCATCTCTCGAGAACTCCGACCGATTTGTAAGAAATTAGCCAACAATAGGTACGTGACAAAACAAAAAAAAACGAGAAAAGAACACGTCACAGTGTAATGTTGACCGATGGAAAAATCGCGATAGGGGACACGAAGGAAGGATTGCGAGAAAGGTCAGGCTCCGTCTCGCGGAAGTCGCGTGCGTCCAGAGACGCCTGGCTACCGAATCCGGTTCGAAAGGATTCCGGGAATGATCACGATCGATTGTTATACTTCATTCCGGTGTGTACACACACACGCGCACACATATACATATATACGCAAGTTGCCTGATCGTTTCACTCTTATCGGGCCTAACGATCAAAGGCTGCGGACACGGTGATTGTGTTTGCATTGGTACGAGTCCGTTTCATAGGATATATGTATAGTATTCGCGAATCGATCGACAGACATACACACACTGTATGTCCCTATAAAATTGGTACGAGGGGAAACAAATTTTCACGAAAAAAAATGGATCTAGACCTGAATCTCGTGCGTCGATCTTGTCGCAAGGAGTTTCATTCTTCCAAGCATGATGTAAATATCCTTACATCATGATTCCAAGCACAGAATTTATATCGCTTCGTTTCGTGTTTTAAAAGCGGACATTGTTGTTTCGAGACTCGATGACCAGCAGGAGTTCCGACTCGATGTCATTGAATGCCGCCTACGCGGTAGTATGATCACGATTCTTTTCGTCGACCTTCACGGGATTTCGATCGGTACGATAGTTCCGTGACCGGTCTGGATCACGTTTCCTGCTTCATACAATTCAGCAGAATTACATAATTCACCCTCCCAGGGGTGAATGACCTGATCATATTGGGTCATCTGGTTCTTCGGATCTGATTATGCGATTCGTCATGGATTGGTCATCGAGTTCCTCCAACGATTTCCGAACAACCTGCAACGTCCATAGTTCTTTTTAGTTTCAGTCCCGTCAAAAGCTAGGTAGCTCGGAAAGTTTATATCCGTTGAAAAGCACAAACGGTGTTATGCACGCGAAGCGAGCGGTTCGAGCCTCGATGGTAACGCGATACGTGGAGAATAATGAAAGACGAACGAAGTATGAAAGGACATACATATAACAGGTGTCTCGACTTTCAATTTCACAAGCGTTGTATTAAACTCCGCTTGCCACTCGATATTCGCCACGCCAGTCCGATATACACACGCCCCCACTGTGCATTTAAATACAATCGAGCACGTTTGCTCGTTATATGGTAAACATTTCGATTCGCAGTATGCGAAAACGACGACGACGACGACGAAGAATTCACGGAACGCTGTTGTCGGTAATTTTCCGGAACCGATCGGTTTCTCGCGAGCTTAATCGGTTTTTGATGTAACCGGAAGCGTCGGTCAACACGTTGAAGAATCATTTTTTTCAGCAGAAATCTAAGCTGATTTGTATGCTTCGAGCTCGAATTAATAGACGGAAGTGTTTAAAAATTCTTAAATAATATGCAGAGAGATTCAAAGAGAATCTCGCACGCCGTTGGAACGTTTGTTTCCTCCGAATAACATAATTACTGTCCTCATAAATCAATAATTACCGACCAATTAACGCATTTATCAATTATCGTGCGTGATATCAATCGAAGAAACATGACGTCGTTCTAACATCTCACTTTCATTACCTTCGCGGTGTAACGGTTTCGAGGATAGGTCTTTTAATTAATACCATTGGTATTCTTCTCTATAATCATACCAGCGTGCGCCAGGGTCTTTTTAACTACACACAATGGAAAGTAATCCAGCCGGGTAGTAATTCACTGTTTTTTCAGTTTTCTATTAAACGTCGATCGCTTGTGGCGAACGAAGCTGAACAACGTGCGTTCCCCTCGGAGTATTTTCTCTCTCTCTCTCTCTCTCTCTCTCTCTCTCTCTCTCTCTCTCTGTGTCGTTTAATTTGCATCCACTGATAGAAAACGATAAATGTTTTAGTTAAACAGAAATTTCCGTGGAACGTTTAAATACTTCCCCCGACGATTGTTCTGTCCGGAATGAGTTACCATGGGATCCTTCATCATCGTGGAGGAGGACTCTTGCGGATATTAATGCGCGCGCCCGATCACTCGTTGAAAGAACGGTTCGAGAGAATGAAACGGGAGTCGTTTAAAAATGGCGGAAGGTACGAGCGCGTGCGCGCGCGTCAGTTACGTAAAGTATCTTTTCCGGTTCTAAAAGATGCAAATCGATTCCCCTTAATAAATATTTGTCCGACCGTATGAAAATACGAACAATCCCTCTAACTCCCTCAAGATTCGGATAATAGTGAAATAGTAGTGAAGACTCCCTTATTGCCGAAGATCAAATCATAATGCCAGTGATCACCCAAGCTTCCTAAACTATATTCGCTTGTCCCTGTAAGAATGGCTTTTGCCCGGTCTGAGCGTATATAAGACAGACGACGTCCTATCACAAAGCGCAGTATTAGATTACCACCTCGACGTCAACAACGAGCATCGTGTGTTATTGGCAAAGTCTACCACGGTGCCACAGCAGCACACCAGTGAACCTGTCGGATGTAACGAATCGATACACGTTGCGCCCGAAATTTCCATAAAACCATAACCACCCTCCACGTGATCGTTAAATTCACCGGAAATCATTTCGATCATGGATACTATACTGGCCACTGATCGCGGAAATTCCGCTACTATCGACGTTGGCAAAGGTCAGACGAACTTCGCGAAAGATGTGCCGAAAATCTCGAAGTACACGGTAAGCCTGATGGTATCATTCCGAATTTAATTTTCCCGCCAAACGTGGAACCGTTAAATTTCCCGTCAATCACCCGTCGCGCGTGATTTGAATTCGAAGTCGTCGCCGCCGCCGCCGCCGCCGCCGCCGCCGCCGCTTGGTTTTCGATGTCGTTGATTGAAATAAGTTTCCAATATTCCAGAGACGTTAAGGAGATCCTTAATGTCATTGTTACGTACGCGAAACAACTTAGGCGATTATTACGATACCGGGTCTCTGATATAAGACAAGATGAGGGGTCATTACGGGGAATTTAATAATTACAAAAGAAGTGTCTAGCAAAATTTTCATCGTTCGTTGCATGCGTCTCGTTCGACATGACGTAACGTGACGTCTAACCGCTACACGATGTCGCGTTATTATTTTCACGAGTAAATTATTTGAATACACTTATACGAAACTTACGATTTAAATCTTACTTATCGCAATAGCAATGCGTTTCTTCTAGAAAATATCAAACAGATTCGCTCCCATTACATACATATACCGCGCCACACGATCCCATTAACAGTCTCGTGAATTTATCGCATCGAAGTAGATCAACGATAGTACGCTGGCCGACTATGTTGGCCGTGTAACAAACCGATCGAGATAAAATCGTTTCACAAACGAGAACGTATCGCGAATTGCCCAGCGCCAGGCCACCATGCAACCGGCCAATTGTCGCGTGTGAAAGCCGCTAATTCAATTCCTCCGTAGCCGCAAAAACAACCGGTTATTGTTTTTAACGGACTCTGTTGCATTGGGTTACATTCTCCCCGTATATGTAGACATTATCTATACATACGTCGTATTTCGCGAGATGTATACTATTACCGAGAATTCGAACGATCAGAGATATACAATCATGGGCTACTTTGTACGCGGTACAAGCAAAGACTTCCGGTTCGTTCTGGATTCACTTTCGTTCACGATACGATCCCTCGCCGGTGAGAAGAGGGATACGATCCTGTCTCTCCCTCTCCCTCTCCCTCTCTCTCTCTCTCTCTCTCCCGAAGAGAGAGATCCATTCACGGGCATCAAAATTTTTCAGCTGGCGGATACAACGGCCCCGAAAAATATCGGCATGGATTACCACATTCAAGTGATCACGAAAGATGACAAACTTCGGATACTAAAATTCCTCAGGCGGTTCTTCTTCAGGGACGAACCGCTTAATCACTCGATCCAGCTGATACCAGAGAGCGAGGACAGCACCTGCCTCGAGTTGGAGGAATATTGCAGCACGTCCTCGATGGAAAACAATCTCAGCGTGATGGCGGTTTCGACGAGCAGCACTATAGTAGGGATCGCGTTAAATGGTAAGAATTCGATCCCCAGACCCCCCACTCCTCCGTCACACCTAACCCGAGAAATTACTCTGCCTCGGTGATCCCTACATATGTACATGTATATCTGGACCTCAGCTTTTCAAACTTTAGATGAGAGCGAAACAAAGGTGAAAAAACCTTTGTTTCCAAGTTGTTACTTTGGAGGCATTCTGTAAGAATTCAACGAGAAACAATTTCTAGATTCAAACAACGTATTGGACAAGTCTCGATCTCGATATACACAAACGATGGTTTCAAACCATTTCGCTTGGAACAAAATACGGACGTTGTATTATTTTTACACTATCATACTAGAAACTACTAAAATGATATCGTTTTTAAAAAAAGTGCACTTAATACACTCTGGCTCTGAGGTCCAGAATATATCATTGTTTTCGTTGGTTCATTGAGCTATTTACACAACACGGAAAGCCGACCGGGTCCGTGGCACTGTTTACGCGGTGTCCGCCGATGTATCTGGGTTAATAACACGATCCCCCGTGTAAGTATACCGTATACCAAGAACGCGTGTTGTGTTGGACTCGTTGGAAAATGATGACACACCAAGCTCAAAACGTTCCGCGAGCACGAAACGATGACGAATCCCGATTCGACGTCGCCACGACGAATTTCCATCGAATTTGACTAACCGATTGATTACCGCAGTAACAGAGCGGAACGAATCTGTGGCCGACCGGCATACGGTGAAACGGGTGAAATAATGTAATCCGTTCGTATATACTCGAAGGCCACCGTTATTTGATTCGAAATAGATCGATACGAGGAGATAAAGAGAATCGGCGATGGGACGACCTCGCGAATCGGTGAACATTTTTCTTTGTCTATCCTTAGAGCCGCGCCACGTGAACGGAACACAGCTTTATCCTCGCGCGAAATCTATTATAATAGAAAAATAGTCGTCGACCGGGGGCAGGGAGAGGAGACACACCTACTACAAAACGGTACTAGCATCAACGTTACATAAATTGTAATGCGAGTACCGTGCAAGCGTATGAGACTTATTAATCGACGCCGGTTGTCGCAATCCTGGTAATTATATTACCCTATCGACAGATCCAGTTAGTCGCGTGTTATTGAGATTATAAAAGTTAGTTTAAACGGTAGGTACACATAAAAAAGAAAGAGTAACAATAAAAGCGTGTACATGTGTAGGTACACAATTCTCCGCGTCGCTCCTCGGTCCTTGAAGTGTTTTAAAGATTTAGATTTATCAACGAACGGATTTAACGACCGTTCTTCCGGTGATTATAATAGGGCCGATCGATAACGACTTACTTGTACCTTTATTTTCATTTCTTTCTCTGCGATCCCGAAACGCGCTCGTTTTGCTCGATAAATTCCGTACCTGCGACGCTGAAAACGGAAAACGTCGGTAGAGAAATACATACTCCCGTTAATTGTCGTTGCAAATGCGAAACGAATGTTAAGAGTTTACCTTAACGTGAATTATCATAGTTCGTTTCGTTAGCGTAGCACACGACTAATTGCCATTGATAAAGTCTCGGCGTTAATTGTACACACATGTAACGCATGTAACACACATGCTCCGTTGTAATGGCGGTACAATCGATAACGGATCATTTTCTGTATTATCGAAATCGAAACAGAAACTCCTTGAAACGGAAAGTATGTTTATTTGATAAACGAAATGGATACTTGGCAGCTGAAACCTGAAACAGTTCAAATGAACGGGGATTAAAATCGGACTTGGGTCATAGCTGATGAGCAATAACCGGAAACTTCATGCTTTATACTTTATGATAACTGAAGACCTTTAGAGTAAGATTTACGTACTTACGGTCGCCGTTCACTATTCAATACGCTGCTATTGAACTTATACCTTGCAACAATGTATCTCATTAAACGTTTGTAGCGCACTACCTGAACGCGACAGTATATGTATTTGCGCTCTGAATGTTACTTATTCGTTATCAATGTACTTGTTCCGAGTTACGCAAACTATACTCTTCGTTAGTATTCAAAAGGTTACACGGCTTTGCTTTACAAAGTGGACACGGACATGTAGAATACACTCGCTAGCGATAAGCTCGCGTTTTCTAATTGAGCAATAAATTAAATCAGGCTTACCCAATACGCAGGAAAAATGGAACCTGCGAGCGAGGAGGAACCGGAATACATCACCACCTGCAAAAATCCGAAATTTCAGAAGATCCTCAGGCTATTGCACCACGTGGATAGAAACGTGACCCGTGACGGACAGTTCCGAGGGTTGAATGTCCTCGAGGTTAGGATAATTTCTGTGGACACCAACTGGAGGGGCAAAGGTATCGGCAAAGCTCTTATGGAGAAAACGACGTAAGCATCGAGACCGTTGCTTTTTAAGTATTTCATTGGTCCTTTAGTCACCTGAGTTTTTTTCTGAATTGATATTCAAAATAAATTTTACTTATAAATTAACCAGAGATATTCCTCTTGCAGTGAAATCGGAAGGGAGAATGGATTTCATATTATGCGCGTTGACTGTTCGTCCTTCTTCTCTGGCAAACTTTGCGCGGGATTGGGCTTCGAACTGATATATAAGCTACCGTACGCAGAATATTTAGACGAAGACGGTAAACCTATATTTTCACCGGCACTTCCGCACACGGCAGTTGTTACGTATATTAAGAAATTGTGAAGCATAGCGCAATCTGTATTCAACGTCGTGTACCTGCTTAGTTGTTCAGGATTACTCCGCAAAACCAGAAACGTACTCTTAATGAACACATACACTATTATATATGTACACTCGCTGGCTACTCGACGAATACGTTCCTTTCTATATATGTATCTTTTCTAATGTCTCTATTTATTTATTACCAGACTGCGGATGTGTATGTGCTAATGCATAGTAGGGCTAATTTATACTAATTCGACTTGAATAAACATTTATCTGCTCTCCTAAGGGTTTTATCAGGGTTACAAATAAAATAAACGCTTCGATACACTTTGTTAAACTTCACTTATATAAAATACTGTCTAATTATTACTTTTATACGAAATAACAAAGCGTCGCGTAACTACTTTAGAAAATTGATATCACGTGATCAGCAATTTAAGCCGATACTACTTGTACAATTTCTTATACTACATACTTTGAATTTTGAAAGTATGTTTATTAGTATCACCCTTTTATAATGTATGTACATATAGAAAACAATCTGATTAAATTCAAGTGATTTTTAAGATTATCACTACATACCGGGTGATAAACATAAATGTACTATTTTCAAAGAGAGTTTGTTATAGTTCATATTTTAGACATAGTAATTTATGTTTTCGTAAATTATCATGAACATGCTATTATTCTCATCATTGTTAAAAAATGACAATGTTTATGTATCACGAAGTAACAGACTTTTGTGCAATAAACTTTACCAGATATTATTTCTACCCTACTACAAATGAATTGAACTCCAAACTGTGCTATAAATATTGAAAATCGTTTGACTAAAATACATATGTATAGAAGTTTCATAAAGATGTAATTTATAAAAGTAATTTTTAAAGGTTGAAAATATAAACTTTGCTTTTCCTTAGACATTCATTTAGTAAACATTTATAATACAATTTCTACTAAAAATATAGTACACCTTTTTAGATTAAATTTATGCACTGATATCAACAATATTGAATTATTATAATACATTATTTACTCCAGAATGTTGATTCATGATTATTCTTTGATTCCATGATATTTTTTAGTTGCTCCTCTACTGTTTTCCCTTCAGCTTCTGCTTTGATTCTTTCATATTCCAGTTGATATTTCATACTTCTCCTTATTATTTCAATTCTGTTAATAACCAAATACCGCTCAATAATTAAAATTTGTAGAACTGTCCCGATTATTATGAATATTATACAATATATAACTGCTTTCCTTAGATATACAGGATCATACTTATGATTTGTTGAATATTCTTTAAATCCCCAATCTGCATATGTAGGATTAGGTCTGTAAACAAATTTTTTATGACTTCATAAAAGTATTACATCAACAATACATTCCAGAGAAAGTATGCATGCATTTATACCTCCAAGTATCATTTCCATTATGCTGACGAAAAGGATGATGAGTGTAAGGATAATAATGCTTTAAACTCATATCATAATCTCTTCTTGTGTGTTTCTTACTTAAAATTGTGTAAGCTTCATTAATCTTCACAAAATCTGCATGATTTCCTTCACTGCTATTATCAGGATGCATCTGACATGAAAAATTTGGAATGTACATATTGACAATACTCCAGACATAAAGAAACACTCACTTTTTTTGATAATTTTATATAAGCATTCTTAATTTCCCTTTCTGTTGCATTCGGGGAAATACGTAATGTGTCGTAGTGATTGCACTGAGCTCTTTAAAAAATAAAAGTTCTCTTCAGAATAGTTAAGTGTCTAATTAAACGTGATTCGCAATTCTAACCTTTGACGATAACAATAATTTCCGTAATGGCGAATTACTACAGGTATCTCGAATTTGTATATACGAAACATATCCCTTAAATTTCTTGTCTATTTGTAAATTTAGACGCAGTTTATGCAACTGAACATCAAAATCAAGTCATTTTATATAAATAGTCGTCAAGCAGCTATTCGGACGATATCATTGTTACAGCTATAAATTGCGATTTTTTTATCTTGAGTGAATTTGCTCACTGCAATCGTAAGTCATTAATCTTTAAACAGAAAAACGTATTCAATATGATTTTACGATGAATTACATTACTGTGTTTGTAAAAATCAGTAGAAAAAACAAGAAATTCTGAAAGAATGATTTGCTAGGTAACATGTAGATTATAATTTATAATCACTAATTTATTCATTATTCTTCATCGTTTCTAATTATTCTTTCACTTTATACGATATAACTCGAATTTTTGTTTTGATGTCGTTAATATAAAATGCAAAAAAAACAGATTATGTGTCGCGTGTAAAGAACTGTTAGGTTTCTCCACCAATCAGAAACGATCTAAATCACGAATCACTGTGAAAAATTACCGTGATTGAGAACGAACGTGATCGAATCACGAGTGATTCACAAGTAGCAGTTCACATCATCTCTAGTGAGAACGTGAGGTCACGGAGCCCCCGGTGGAGGCGCCATAGACCCTGCACGGTGAGAGCGTGGGGTCACGGAGGCCCCGGTGGAGGCGCCATTAATCACGTGGGGTGAGAGCGTGGGGTCAAGGAGCCCCCGGTGGAGGCGCTATAGACTCTGCACGGCGGCTCTGGTGGAGGCCCCATTGATCACGTGGGGTGAGAGCGTGGGGTCGCGGAGCCCCTGGTGGAGGCGCCATAGACCCTGCACGGAGGCCCCGGTGGAGGCGCCTTTGATCACGTGGGCTGAGATTGTGGGGTCACGGAGCCCCCGATGTGCGAGCAAGAGAGGAGCTACTCCAGTGCTATTTCTGTCCTCCAGTCACCTCGCCGTCATCCCTACCATAAGACCGTGCAATTTGTTATATATGTCTATGGTTTTTTAGTTGTCATGCGAGAGAGAAGGAAACATGGCGGACGAAAATGAGGATCAGTGGTTGTATGGGGATTCAACCGATGGAAAAGAGTACACGCCGACTCCCGTCCAGACCGAGAGCCAGGAGAATGATTCGACACCCTCGACGATACAAGAAAAACCACAGAATTTGGAAGATCAGGAAGCAGAAAGTGTTCCTGACCCAGTAACAGAGGTACGCTACCCCTAACCTGTGAGCTCGGCTGTCGTGACCGGAATTAGTTCAAACCGAATAAACCAACCACGGATGGCGATATACAAACACTGGAACTCTGCTCATACTAATTGCAAACTCCAATTTCTTTGAGAAATAATGAAGTCATTCTCTCAAATCTGACACGCGTCATTCCTTGATCGAACATAACCTACACCATTTGTAAACTATTCCGAATGATAGACAATTGATTGGTTTTACTTTTATTATATTTCACTGATTTTATAATTACTATTTATAGTCTAATCTAATACATTGATAGTAACAGATTGTCGTGTCTAGATAACGAAATATTTGATTAAAACGTGTTTTATGTTACCGGCGGAAGAGCAATAATCTGTGTGCAGCATAATGTTATGCCACTGGCTCAGAATGTGTTAAGTTATATAGTGATTAATTTTTCACCTATTCTTACACACTTTTCTGTAAGTTAAGTAAAACAGCAGCCGAGCTGAGTGCTTTGTCTTGATGCCATATATTTCTGTATTCCAATTTGTTTATCGATGATATTATTATTATTAATTCAGTTATTATGTGTGCAGGCACCTGAAGAAGCAGAACCACCAGAAGAGGACTCTCCTTCAGGTGACAACACTCAAAATGATAGTAACTTAGAACCAAATAAAAATGGAGTGAGGGAACCCTCCAGTCAAGAGGATGGAGAAGCAGCCAGCGATTCAGATTCCGACGATGACGTCCACGTCGTCATCGGTGATATTAAATCCACTCCTGCTTACGGCAGTCTAAATATCAAAAGAGGGGGACTACTCACGAACGCTTCGGGAGTACCAGATAAATTAAATAAACAGCCTGGGAAATTTAGTATAGATGAATTCGAAACTATAGGGGTCATAAATGGTATGCCCGCGCATGAATTTAATTTAGACCAACTGGAAGATAAACCATGGAGACAACCTGGCGCCGACATCACAGATTATTTTAATTACGGTTTCAATGAGGAAACGTGGAGAGCATACTGCGAGAGACAAAAGAGAATGAGGAGCGAATCAGGTGTAGGCTTAATATTGAATGCCGGAGGAGGAGGTGGGAGTGCAGGCAATATGAGGGTACCGCAGGTGGCAATCACTAACGATAATAGCAAATATTCCGGTATAATGGGACCTAAGAGAGCAGGACCACCTCCGGGAAGAAAAATGGCAGGAACAATAGATGTAATTGGTAGTTCAGGTTTAGCTTCTAGGAGGAATCTTGACAAATCCCCGCCTAAAGGAAATGTGATACAAGTAATGACTGCTGATAGGAGAGAGTATTCTAGGAAACCAGGTTTTCCTGATATGAGTGTACCACCACCAGGAGCAGGGATGCCCCCTGCGTTTGATATGCCTCCGCCTGGATACCCAGGAGAACCAGCCCCCTTTTACATACCAGAAACGGACCCTTATTATCAAAGCTATGAACCCACACAAGATAATCAGTGGGGTAATGATCCTGTATGTACAACTGTATCTATTTTTTCGCTCCTTTTATATACTTGTAAGATGAATTCTAAATTGCACATTTGTTTATCGTAGACATGGCAACCAACAAATTTGGCTATTCCAATGACAGAGGGAGAGGATGACAAAGATACCGGTCCCAAAACGATACCCACCATGGTACCTCCTACGAATATTCCACCGTTAATACCACCTAGAGATTCTAGAGACCGCGAGAGAGATCGGGAAAGAGAAAGAGATCGTGACAGAGAACTAGATTCTATGGGAAGGGATCGTGAACGGGATAAGGACAGAGATCGCGATCGCGAAAGGGAAAAGGATTCCATGATCCGGGAACGGGAAAGAGAAAGGGACTCGATGTCGCGGGACGAAGAAAGAGACCGTGATAGGTCCCGATCCCAGTATCGCCACAAAGAACGGTAATAAAGCGGTAATAATGCATAGCTAAGAAATAACGCGATTTCTCCACATCAAAATTGACACTCGAATAGCACTCCATTGTATTTATCGTTTCTTTTTTGTTCCTTTGTCGTTTTTCGTTTGTGTTATCGCTGTATTTCTCGGCAACTTTGTCACCCTGATGTGATGTTTTGTACTTTTTCCATAGGCATCGGCATCGATCGAGATCACGATCTCGTAGGCATAAATCCAGATCTAGAAGTCCGAGTCGACGTAAGAAGAAATCTAGACGCTCCGAGAGGGAACGTTCTAAAGAAGAAAGTGAATAAAACGAAAAGAGTTGCCTACCAATGTCCACGGCCACATTGGCCCGCCTGTATATCAGACGTTGAATCTTTTCATTAATGCACTTGTCCCCCGTTACCATAAAAAACACACCTGTTGGTACTTGTTCGCATCGAATACGCAATTTCTAGATAAAAACATGAATTATAAACAGCAACAATAAACTTTATCTTTAACAACACTGATCGGTTTCGTTACATCGGAGTTACCCGAAATGTTGGATCTGTTATTTGTAACGGAATAAGAAAATAGTAGGCCGCCGCCATTCAATGTATGGTTTTATGGTTTTATATCATAATGTTATTACAGAAACGGTACTTAATAATAATTAAAAGTAACAGTTGTTTATTGGTAAACCACTCATGGGTGAATCATTTGATCGATATCGATGTCGGTCTTCTTGACGGCCGAACTCGCATTGATCGATGCGCACACGTGTTCTTTTTTCTTTTCATCCCTTTTTTCCCCAGAAAAAACAATTGCACCTCATTTATTTTTTTGCAATCAATACTACCGCTGCTGTTCATCATTAATGCCATACAGTAATAGAAAAAAAATGTTACATTTGTACAGACATCATATATGTACATGTTACATATAAAATATCGTTAATTCATGTTTTTTTGGTTTGTTTCGTGTGGTGTATGATCATTCTGCATATGAATGAAATGTTAACAATCAAGACAACTTCCAGTAAAGCCTACACGAGTTTCGACTTTTCTCGTAATTATCGAATCAATCTTTAAATCCTAATCAGAATCAAACAATTCGAGCAGTTCGTGGTTATACCAATGGAAAAAGGAACGTAGATCGCTTTACGCGTTCATTGTCTTGAGTGGATACTGAAGATGACAATAAATAAGATCCAAGGTAGGTATTTTTTTTCTGTTAAAAAAAAAAACAAAACAAAGGGGACAGAAATATTACATGTATCATGTGTAGTATCGCTTAAAGGTGTAAAATATGTATACGTAGTGAAACCGATTATAGCTTTGTCACGGAAACAGATCGACGCACGATTAGATTAACTTTTGGGTTTCCAATTGTATAAAGCGCAATTGCATCGTTATGGTTCACCATTTTTCTTTTTCTTTTTCTTTTTTTTGGGGGGAGAAAGATTGATTAAAGGGTAAAAAGTAACAGAGAAAAAGAGCAAATAGAGTGAATGAACAACGCGGGTAACACGAAAGGATGACAAAGAAATCAATAGAAAATGATGATACTCTGGCAAAACGAGAATTCGTTGGATTCAAAGAGCGAGGTGATGACAGAGAATGATCAGGGGGATCGTGGAGAACTTACAGTCGAATTAATGTCTGCTCGGCTGTGTTAACAGTTTCTCTGCGTGCAAATATATTTTTGTTTCAATTCGTTTTTATTGTAATAAGTTATCACGACATTCTCCATTTTTCACATTATATACTCAGATTCAAAAATCCTTTTTATTAACGTTCTAGAAAATATGAAATACAATCGACAAAGACGCTAATTAGTATATATAATAATACCGTAACGACGCGGATCGTTCCTGGGAATAGTTTTACAATACATATATAATTGGCGGAAAAATCAACGCATCGCGTGTCGGCGTCGACAGAACGTACAAACGTAGAAGCCGGAGAAACGGAACCTTTTTGGGCCTGGGGGCAATCTTTGAACCGCCTACCACCACGAGTTGAAAAAGAAAGCTGTATTCTTGCTGCGTCTCACTCACTCACTCACTCACTCACTCTCACTCACTCAATCACTCAAATACTCACCCTCCTTCTCTCGATTAACAACCGGCAAAAGAAAAGAAAAATCGGGGGAACTTGCGACAGCGACGAACGCGTAAAAAAAAATGAAGACAAAATACAGAAAAAAACACAGTGAGCTTCTGTTGCAACGAAGAAAAATCAAAAAATTAGTCCGGGGGTGTGGCGAGGTTATCGAAGCTTTTGAAACTTAACACGCAACGATCGTCCTTTGGTATCTTGTTCTTTCTTTTCTTTTTTTTTTCGTTTTGCTGTCGGGGGATTTCGCGCGCGTGCTCGTAAAAAGTATAATTCTCTCGATCGCGAGCTTTTCTCCAAAAATTCGGGTACTTATATGTGTTCTTGGCTACCATTTCGATTCGCGCGCGCGCGCGCGCGTATGTGTGACTATTTAAAAAAAATCTACGCTCTTTTTTTACCGTGACAGGGGGCGTGGGGGTTCAGTTTATGTGAAGTGTCGGTACTTATTCATTAAAATTGTTTTCCTTTTTCTTTCGAGGTGGCGGTTTTCTCATTAGCACATCATCTTTTACAATCTGTTTCTTTTCCATTCTTCTGTGTTCTTTCTCTCTCTCTCTCACTCTCTCGTTACTTGTTTCCCCGTGTTTCCATTCTGTTTGTTTTTTCTTTTTTAGTTCACTTAAATGGTATAATGATGTATTACTTCCATTTTTTATTTTATTTGTTTGTCTCTTTAATCTACTCGCACTGTTCTGCCTGCTTGTAAAAAACATCGTCGAAAATGATTCTTCTTCGTGGCTATTTCATCGTTTCAACTACGTTCTATACACTAATATACAAGTTCTGCGATTCTTTTAGATTTCCTTTTTTTTCTGATTAATCCGTATGCCAGTCCGTCCCACTTATCTAATTTTATCCGCTAATATGGAATACATTTTTTTTCTTGCGCTTTTTAATATATCCCTCTGCGATATCTACCTGGTGCGTCCCAGAAGCATCACCGGCTCGTACATTGCTCGCACGCGTGTCTTTCTCACCGTTCTGTTGTCGTGTGAGGTTTTTTTTCTTTTTTTTCTTGTCGAATCATGAAAGAACCGTCGAGAAAACGATCTGCGGCGATGGGGGAGTAAAAGTAAGAGAACGAGAAGAGAGCTTTCCAAAAAAAGTAAAAAAGAAAGAAGAACAAAATAAGATGAGAATATTAAGACCTATCACAAAATTTTCACGCCTCTCCCCCGAACGGTATCGAGTATAACGCAACGTCAAACAATTTACATTACACCCTATTACACTCTTACATATATATTACAACTTACGATTTACCCGACGCGACACCTTTTTGTTCTTCTCCGTGGTTTAGAAAATTTAAACACCTGCCTTGGCAATTAATTCGGTCCCCCGACAACGACGACGACATGTATACGCGTCACCAACGCGTACATACACACGGTCGAGAGAGCGTGGCGGGATGTGTGGATGATACGAAACCAAAAAAAAGAAAAAACTAGAAAAAGAAAATAAATCGAAAGCAAATTTCCGTGGAGTATCGAGGGGTAAGTCCGACGCGTGCGAGTGTGTATGAGCCAGTGTGGCGTATGAGGCGAACGAATGAGTACGCATACATATATATCATATATCTGACAAATATATACGATGTGTGTGTGTATGTGTATATATATGTTCAATTAGCCCTGCGAATCCGTGATGATAGTGTGTGTGTCTATATAGGTGTGAAATGGTGGTGTGTACAGGAGGAGATTTAGATGTTCGTGTTACGTGTGTATATGGGATTACAATAGATGACAAGAGATGACGAGATGACGGTTCGCGATGAGAATAGCGCGCTACTGTACATCAGTCTTTAATATCAGGGCGCACCATTCCCGAGGGATGTTAAACCTCTAACTTCCTCTTCGTTTTCCCTTCGAACGCCCAAGTCACACCACCGTCTACGAATAAAGGCGCGTAATCAGTTTTTTCACTGCATTTTCTTTGTCGTTCGACTAACGGTTGCTCGTACACATAAATATATAGCGCCATGGCAGTTGAAACCGGTGGGTGTGCTGATGAAACGTGCCATTTTGAGATGCAATATCTGTTCGTCTTTGTCGTGTGAGTGTATGTATGTGTAGTGTCGTGTCACGTGTAGATGTATCGTGGGGATTCAAGTGTGTGTTCGTATGAATGTTGCGTGCATACGATCCGAGGTGTGTACTACAAGTGGGAGGTCGCAGATCCTTCATATATATATAATACAATTAGCATGTAGTATTAAAATCATATACAATTGTTACAATATTTAAATAGTACTTATTACATATATATCAGATACCGATAGGTTTCAAAGTTTCATTTTTTTTTTTCATTAAGGTATGCATATACATATACATATATGTATATACATATATATATATGTATATGTATATATGTATAATCAATTATTTATAGGGTTGCTTAATTGTGTGTTCTCTTTCAAATCCTCGTGAACGCGGTCCCAAACGGGAACCCCTTCCGTCTCCCTTCTGTTCTTTTCATTCCTTATATTTTCTCTGTCTCTGTGTCTCTCTCTCTCTCTCTCTCTCTCTCTCTCTCTCTCTCTCTCTCTCAATCTCTCAATCTCTCTCCCTGTCGTATATTCACGCTGGAACAGCTCTCCCACGTGTGGGGGTTTTGTTAAAGAGGACGAAAGAGAAACAGCGATTAGAGAGACGACGATCGCGTATCTAAAGTACAAATATCGTTGATTGAAAAGGGGAGTGGTGTGTGGGTGGGAGCAGCGCAAAAGGGATTATACGTAACGCAACGTGTGGAAACGCTGTCGTATTACTTTCGCACGATATAAAGAAGATTCATCTCATCTGTACGCCTCGTAACGAGCGGTCAGATGTTTCCTTTCTTTCTCCTATACAGAAAGCATAATTTTGATTTTTTGTTCACTGAATGAGAGACGAGCGATTGTGTGCGGTTGCTTGAGAACTTTTTTCTTGGGCACCGTGATAATCGAGGCGAGTCCGGCGGCTTTTTTTCTGTCACGATTGATACGAAAACGGAAAGGACTGAAATTTGCTTTTTTTACTGACTCGTTATTATATATACACAGAGAAATTACGATTAGCATGGGCGTCGCAAGAAAAGATCGAATTATTTACTGTCAGCAGTGGTTGTCCTTTGGGGCGTGTGAAATCTCTCGAACGCATGTTTCCCAATTCGGTATTTTCATCTCGAAGAGAATTTCGAATTGTCGAGGATTTCGTGCGCATACGCGCGCTGCCAGATTAGGAACGAACGAACCGGTCGTTCGTTCCTGCAATTCGCCGTCGTCTTGTTGTTGGTTACACACGCGCGCGACACAATGGACCAGAGAACAAGAGTCGATATACTTATATATATATATATATATATATATACATACATACTGATTGCGTTACAAATCCCGCGATTCGGATCCTTTTTCTTTTATAAACAGAATGATTTTCGTCGACGAAGCATGTGTGTATCATCTCGCACAGAAAATTTACAAAAAACGACCATACCAAACTCTGTGTGTACAAGAAATACGGTTGAATGGCCTCGCCCACTTTTACATATTTTACAAAAAGTACAACACGCTTGAGGAACAGGATATTGTACGCAAGAACGATTCGCTGGCTGGACGAATCAGATATCTCTCTCTCTCTCTCTCTCTCTCTCTCTCTCTCTCTCTCTCTCTCTCTCCCTCTCTCTCTCTCCCTCTCTTTACATAGAGACACGCGCAGATCTGGGATCGCGCGATCCGTAATGCAAGGTATACAAAAAAAAGAACGAACGACGAGAAATAACTGTTCCACGGTTTGTTTTTGAGTTCTCGTGAAGTTCACTGGGTTCTAAAAGATCGAGAAGAACGTCTCCATGTACCCCGAGAAACCCTGTGTGCGTGATTTTCACCACACCTCACGTGGGCTCCTCGTTCTTGTATTTTCTTTTGTTTTTCTCTGCCTTTCATGTGTGTATGCGCGCGAGATGCATGTGTGCGTGATATTTCGTTTTTGCTTTACTTCTCTCATTTTTTTATACACGGTGCACGCCGCACCTCGTCGAACTCGCGCAACCAAGAATATTTCCTTTCTCGCGCTATATAAAAAATTTACACTATTTATAATCAAAACGTCGTTTTAAGAATTTCCATTTTTTATCTCCTCAGAAGCTTAAGTAGACATTATGTATATGTATATATATAACACGACAGCAATCAGTTGTGGTCGATCTATATCGCTAAACGTTCTCGTTTGTTTTCTTTTTCAACTAAAGTTAAACATAAAAGAAGTTTCCTTCTGTTTCATTTCCTCTCATTCAAAACAAAAAATGGACTGAAACGGGACAGCCGGAGCAGCGTTAAAAAGAAAAATTGTATCCGTATATTTATATGTACCATATTTATAAAGCATTATATATTGTGAGCTTGCCTTACGCGTGTTCTTTATATGTGTATATATATATATATATATATATATATATATATATATATATATAATATATA